AAGAGCTGAGAGAGAGTCCTTTGTTCTGAGGACTTACACAGTTGGCATCGTGCTGAAGAAGTTACGAGTTGGTTGAAAGGTAAAGGTGGAGCCAGTTTTCCCCAGGGGCACATGACTGCCCAAATGAAGGTACGTGTGGGGGTTGGTGAGGCTGAATCCTTATCTTGCTCCAGACTCCATTTGTTCATCTTGTTGTAAAAGAGATACGTGACAGGAGGCAGTTAAAGTTGGAGCAGTTACCCAAAGTTACTTATGGGCTCTTCCTGTAAGCATGAGGGACTCCCTGTAAAACAGACAGTGACCAGAGGTAGACAATAAACAGAAGTTGTTTTATGGCCTCCTTCCCTTGGGCACTGCGGACCCTCTCCCCTCTTTCAGGCCTTGAGGTGGAAACACAGTGTCAAGGCTTTCTTTTCCTGATATTGGAAATGATGCATAGCATTTCAAGGGCTCCCCCTCTCCCGTGTTAGCCTGGTGTTTCCTGTGATGTTGGAACACCTGGCCATGTTATTGACCAAGCTCAGGACTGCTGAGTCAGTGGGGGAGACACATCTCCCTCCTCCTCCCTGCCTTGGTTTGCTGTCTGTCCAACCTCACAGATAAACACAAATGTGTGTGAATGACTCCTTTTGGGGAAGTTCCCTTGCTTACCACAAGCAATAAGGAGTTCAAACCACGTTTGGTTTTACCTAATACTTGACAGCTGATTGAGCTAGACTTTGGCTTCCGAAGCTCCCTCTCTGTCTCAGGGTTTGCCTGTGTCTGCTCGCAGGGCTTGTCAGTTTCCCCCAGGTCAACAATGGATTGTCCAAACGTTTTGCCCTATGAGTGGGCTCAGAGTGGGTATCCCTGTCCCGTACCGGGTGCTGGAGGCAGGCTGAAATATCTTGGTTTTCATTCTTGCAGTGAATGTGACCCAATCAGGGGCCTCAAAAACAGGGGTGTAGATGGCCGGTATCATTCACAGCTACCTAAGAATTTATTGTTCCCCCCTATAAATTTCCAAGGTCCATTGTTACTGATCCAAGGTTCCTGTGCCCAATGCTTCAAAAAAGGTTGTAGTGCAGGAGCCCCAAACTGGGAAGCTGCTTAAATGCTTGTGACATTCTGAAAAAACAAAACAAAACAAAACAAAACAAAAAACTTCCTGTGGACTAGCAGATATGGACATGAGATTTATTACACACATTACTGCGGACAGCACTGGACAGCACTGACAGCGGCAGGTCAGTGAGAGGCAGACCGCACCCTCCTGTGTCTGAAAGTTACAATCCATTTCAAAACAACACACATTCCTTCTGGCCAGCAGCCCTCTGACCAGTAGCCCTCTGAGCAGCCCTCAGTTATGGGAGGAGGAAAGGCCTTTTACTGACCCCTCAAAGGCCAATAATCAACATCAACCAGAATTTGGGATAAGGAAAGGTTTATTGATCCAGAAGATGCCAGCTTGAGAAGATGGGGGACCTTAAAGCTCCTGCAAATCCATCTTAAGAGAGCCCAGAATTCAGGCTTTTTTTATATTAAGAAAGGGAAGAAGAGGCAAGAGGCATGTGATGCCTCGACTCGAAGGGCGACCCGAGAACACAGAAATCTCTCAATCTCTCCACTCCCCGAGTCTCCATTGACCCTTCCTGATCTAATTTGGTCTCGAGGCTCCTGCAAATCTTTGCCAAAAGCTCAAGAGGAACAGAATTCTTCTAAGAGTCAGCCTGTCTATAGCTGGAGCTGTTTACCTGAGACCGTGAGAGACGTGCAAGCTAGAAATAAGATAGGGTCAGCACGCTTCACCGTGTCAGGGAGGCCCCGCTCATTGGGCTAAGCCTCCCTGCGGATTTAAATAGTCCCACCTAGAAGGGAGTTGCTACCTGGCCCTGAGCCTTCTGCCTAGGGGTGGGGAGTGCCTGTGAGGGAAGGAGTGGAGCAAGGAGACAGAAGGGATGTGGCCTTTGTCTTGAGGCTTTTATCTCTCTCTTGCTGGGGAGGTTTTCAGTAAAATAATCATCAGTTCTCCAGGTGCGCCCCATTTAGGGGTTTAGGGTCGTCGTTTCCGCTGATTGGTCAGTGACAGGGCAAGGGTCTTCAGTCACTGTAGATGGTTCTGGCATTGCCCACCTGTTTTTGCTGCTTTCCAGGGAGGAAAGGTTACCCTGGGTGGCAGTTGTTTTTTTTTAATTGATTTTACTTATTTATTTTTAGAGAGAGGGGAAGAGAGGGAGAAAGAGAAGGAGAGAAACATCAGTGTGTGAGAGAAACATGGATCGGTTGCCTCTTGAACATGCCCAGCCCCCAACCAGGGACCTGGCCTGCAACCCAGGCATGTGCCCTGACCGGGAATTGAACTAGTGATCTTTTGCTTTGCAGAATGATGCCCAACCAACTGGATTATGCTGGTCAAGACAGGGGGCGACATCCTTAGTTTCCCAGTTTTGTCCACTGCCAGGCATTCAGGGTCTTTGGCCCTGTTGACCATCTGCACCTGCCTGTAAATTGTTTGGCCATGTGTTTGGCTCTCTGCCTCAGTTTCCCCATTCCACTTGCCAAGGAATTTTCCTGGCTTCTTACTATCCCGTCTCACACCGAGAGCCTTAAACCCCCTGAGCACCATGCAGGTGCTGCCAGAGGGGTGTGTGGTGACACGACTCATTTCCTCTGCATCCTGCAGGTCAGAGAAAAGCCATTCCCCACATATCCCGGAGCTGCGCTACCCACACCTATATACTCGCCTGGCTTTTTGCTGGGAGCTAGTTGCTATATCAATAACCTTGGAGGGAGTGTATTCTATCATGCCCACTTCCTGAATTGGGGGGTTGGGGCTGTTGTTGCAGGTGAGGGGAGCAAAGTTCACCACCCCAAAATATGCCTTTGGAGATATGGACTATTCCAGGCTGGCTATTTTCAAGAAACAAAAGACTCAGGAAGAAGCTTTGTCCTTCCCCCTAATTGCCTGAAGGGAATTTAGAAGAGGACCTGCTCTAGGGGGTGAGCCATCACAGGGCACTGTGGTTTAACTCGAACTAGCCAGTGGGCAGAGAGGGGCCTGGCACGGCCTCTGATGGAAGCCCTCTGCTGAAGGCAGCCCACCGCACATTCCTTTACCACACACTTGCTCTCCCACGTCTGCGTCTGCATGAACTGCCTTCCTCCCCTTTGAAGTCCCAAACCACAACCCCCCTTCTCCTTAGCTCCAGAGACATCTAAGCCTCAAATGCTCAATCTGTCCTAAGGTCTCATATATTTTTTAATGATTTTATTTATTTTTTTTAATTTGTTTTATTTTTAGAGAGAGGAAAAGGGGAGAAAAAGGGGTGAGAGAAGCACCAATTGGTTGCCTCTCACATCCCCCCAAACTGGGACCCAGCCCGAAACCCCTGCATGTGCCCTGACTGGGAATCAAATGGCCACCTTTTGGTTCTCAGGCAGGCGTTCAATTCCCTGAGCCACACCAGCCAGGTCTATGTATTTATTTTTAGAGAGGGGGGAAGGGAGGGAGAGAGAGAGGGAGAGAAACATCCATGTGCCAAAGAAACATCAGTAGGCTGCGTCTCACGCTCCCCCCCGCCCCAGTGGGGACCTGGCCATGTGCCCTGACAGGGAATTGAACCTGTGACCTTTCTGTTTGCAGTACAATGTCCATCCCGCTGAGCTATACCAGTCATATTCTTATGGCACAATATAAATAGGTAAAAAGTTGTCATACATAACCAAGTTGGTTGTTTTCTCCTATTAATCTGTCTCATGTTAATTTGACTATTAGTCTAGCCAGAAGAATTTAGAAAGGTGGAAAGAAAATGCATTTTTACTCCCCCTCACTGTGCTTTTGCTTTTCTTGGCATTGAGGAGTCCAGTGGCATGCGTGCATCCTCTGCTTCTTCATCAACAGGCATGACACCCTCTTCCCCACTCTCGTCATTTTCCCAGGCAGGACACCTCCTAGCCTCCCTATCCGGCTTTGTCACAAGTGTGTGGGCCTTAACCTAAGTGAAACACAGAAGAATGGTGTCATCACTATTCCAGAGGTGAAAACCACAAACCTTCTGTTTGCAGATCTGGGACTGCAGTGAGGTGAGCAAGGCACCCACCTGGGTTGCAAAATTTAGGTGGGGGAGCATGTGGATGTTCTGTTGTCATCCCCATTACAGCTATGGAAACTGAGGCTGAGGGGAAGTGGCCTGTCTGGAGTCCCACGTGAAGGAAGGGCTGTTCACACACAGCCTCAGCTTCTCACCCCCAGCTGTGGTCCCAAGCTGACCCTCAAGTTTGAAGGCCAGCAGGGTGTGGCCCAATAAGTCAGCTTCAGCCGAGATTGTGTCTCTGCGCTGGGGGTCCTGGTCTGGGAGGGAGGCTCCTGCTCGTGGGAAACACAAGTTCCCCTGGGTCTGTCCATCAAGACTGTTCCCCATCCCTTGTCATTTGGCTGTTGACTATCTTTAAGCAGTCTAGGTAGAGAAATGTCCCTCCTCTGACACCCTCCATGGCTCCTTACGGTCCCTTCAGACACCATGGCAGGGATGCTAACTGAATCCCTGCTGGGTCACTATGGAGATCCCTGAACACAAAACCCAGCCTCTTGGGTCACACCCTGGTCCTGCCTGCCCCCAGTCCACCACTCACCCCTCAGCCTCAGTTTCCCCAGCTGGGGACTGGACATGACAGCTTGTGGCTTCTCAGGTCCCAGCACACAGGAACACGCGGCTGGCATGCCCTAGGCATTCAGCAACTACAGGTGTGGCCCTTGGGAGCACAGGAGAAGGGCAGGGACTTGCGATGAGGTCTCCCGGGCAGCGCCCCTTCTGCAGCAGCTCATGTGCTAGCACCTGGCCCAGAAGGGCCAAGGCTATAATTTGGCAGTGACAACATACCTCTTTCCTGGAAACCAAAACTGAAAGTTAAACTGTTCTTTCAGATGATCCATTCAAAAATCCCTAGGTCAGGGGATTGTTTTAGGACTTTTCATTGGTCAAAATGGCCCCTATGCTAATAAGGAGGCAGATCCAGCCTCTTAGAAAGTTTCAGCTTCCTTTCTGACTCCCTACAACCCAGGGCAGATCCCTATGACATCCACTTTTTACCACTACATCCCTTTGCCCATGGTTGAAAACTCAAGGGAGCTAATGCTGGGGCACTACAAGCTCCCAAGGTGGCTGGGGATCCTGCTGGTCCTGCTGGTCCTGTTTGCGGTGGGTCTGTTTGTGACCACGATCATCCTCAGTGTCCAGGTCCACAGCCCAGCTTGCAAGGATGGCCGCAGAGCAGAGCAGGAGTGTCGAAACTTCACCCACTTCCTGGAGCGCCAGTGGACTCAGGCCCAAGAAATCTTACTGAAGACTAAGGCCCAGGCTGCCACTTACAACCAGACTGCAGTAAGCCACCACCACCCCTAAAGAGGGCCCTCTGCTTGGGGGATCCACCCAGGGCCTAGGTGGAGATCCAGATAGACCTTGAGACTGCCCCAGGGCCCCTATATCAGGAACCCGAATTTCCCCTTCAGGGTCTGGGGATCTCTAAACTCTCTTTGGGGTGCCAGTGTAGACTGGAGCCTTAAATTCCCCACAGCACCCAAATAAGGGGCCTCGGTATTCTAACTATGATATGGATGAATCTTCAAACTCCAGGGCATTGGTCTGGGGGACCCAGAAGCTGCCCTTGGGCAGAGTCTTGGGGGAGTAGAAATCCCCTTTGGGGGTTGGGATGGGAACTCACCAGACCCTGAAGAAGGCAGGGGCTCTTGATACTTCCACTGCATGCCTAAGGGGCTGAAACTTTCACTTGGGTCTTGATATGAGGGGCCTGGAAACTCCCACTGGACATCTTGCTTGGGTTCAGAAATCCCGTGTTCTGGGTTTGAATAGACCTCTAAATCTTCTTGGGCAATAGCCCAGGGGATCTGGAAATTTCTCCTAGGGTTTGAGCCTGGGTAGCCTCCAAATTCCGAGGGGGGGGCTTAAAACTCCTGTTTCGAGGATTGCACTCTTAGCAGTGTCCCTGGGAGGGTGGGAGGTTGTGGTCAATCTTCACAGAGGGAGACAGGTACAGAGAAGGTTGGAGGGAACCTTGAAATGTATTTGGATGTGACCCCAAGACCTGGGGAGGGGTTCAGGTCCCAAGACAGCAGCCCACCCCCACCAGGGACAGAACCCCAGAGTCTGACACCCCCACCCTTCTACCACATTCCAGGTGACCCTGATGGCTTCCCTGAAGATGCAGCAGGCTCAGGGCCAAAAGCTACAGGAGCAAGTACAAGAGCTTCAAGGTGAGAAAAATACAAGGCCCGGGTTCTACTAGTGGGGCTTGGAGGAGCAGGGCAGGTATTAAAGAGGAGGGAGAGGGAAGGTCCCAGGGTTGGGGTCAGGAGAGGGATGGGACCAGAATCCAGTGGAGGTGGGTAGGGGGTGTGCCAGGTTTCCAAGGTGCATTCAGGTGAGGGTGGGGCTCAAAGTGGGGTCCTGTTCCAAGTTGGAGCCAGTTGAGGGGTGTGGCTATGGTGCAGACATGCCCTCTGTCCCATACTAGAGGAGATTAGGACATTGAAGCAGAAGCTGCAGAACACAACCCAGAAGCTGCAGGACACAACCCAGAAGCTGCAGGACACAACCCAGAAGCTGCAGGACACAACTGCAGAGCTGAATGAACTAAGGTGGGGACACTCCCCAGCCATGCCCCCCTTAACCTTCTAGTCCCATCCCAAGACCTGGGATCTTCTTGACTCCATAAATCCCATTGCTTTGGGGACAAAGTTTGAATTCCAGCCTTGTCCCTGGATTACCCAGCCATGAGTGGCAGCTGCCCACTTTCCTCCCTAGGGACTCGGTGGGAAAGAGGGCAGATTCTGAGGGGCGATGAGCCCAGCACTGGAGCAGCCAGCCCTGGCGCCTGCCTGAATTGCCCCCATCTCCACCTCAGAAAAGACCATGAAAGCTTCGGCAGGGACTATGGCTCCACCAACTCCGGGAACACCCTCAGCCTCTCTGTGGTCACTATGCTCCTGACCCTGAGCCTCCTGGATCTGTTGGCCTGAGGTCCCAGGAAGCTGGCAGGTAAGGAGGGGGAGCTGAAAGGGGTGGGAGGGAGTCACAGAGTCAGGGCCTGGGGAGGTGGCCTGCCTGCAGGGTGGAGGGCTGGGCGCAGAGGAGAAGGGTCTTTGGGACGGATGTGGGGACCTCAGTGAGGAGTCATATGGAGGGGCCAGGGCCCGTGTTCTGTCCACAGTTCTGCCCTGAGTCTCCCTTATTACATCTCTTAGGTCACAACCTGGACTGGTTCCAGTTCTGCTTCCCTGACCTGGACAGTTTTGAGGGGCCACACGACTGCATGGTTGGGGAGCAGGGGATGGTTGGGGGGAGTGGGGGGGACTCAGATGGCAAGAGGTGGTTCATGGGGTAGCCTTGGGGGTGGAGAAGCATCCGAGTTGGCCCACAGCTGCCCCTCAAAAATTGGTGGGTCATGGATTGGGGGGCATCTGCTTTTTGTTGTTCAGGGTTCTGGAATGTCACTTTGTTCTGGGGTCTTTGGGTACCAAAAAGTAAACATTCCTTTTTGGGGGAGTGACCTTACTCTGAAGTTCCTGGTGTGTCACTGATCACTCCCAAGCATCTGCGAACTCCTGATGTCTACACCCAGCCTTCCTTGCTCCAGAATGTTCCCAGAAACCCACGGGGTTTGGGCAGGTACCACTCCACTGCCTACCCAGCCCTATTCTCCACTGGGATCATCTTAAAGGACCATACACCCCCATCAGTACTCGCTGAATGCTCAGCACTCTACTGTCATCTCCACATCAGTCTCCGCATGCTCACGGCGCCATGAGGAAACACAGGCCATGACTACGGGGACACCTTGTCCAATTCCCAATCCACCCCCCTCCACCCCCAGAAAGTGCAGAGCTGGGATTCAAACCTGGATCTGCAGACACGCCCAAGCCAAGCATTTGTCACAATGTACCTCCCTCCTCCATATTCTCAACTTGTTTTCCCCTCCAAACTCCTATTCATTGTGCAGAATCCTGCCTCCAGAGTCTCTCTGCTTCTCCGGAATGGAGGGCCACGGTCCTGATGGCCCTTCACCCACTCTCTGGGGTCCACATCTCATAATTTCTTCCTTCTTTGTTATCTTCCTTCCTCCAAGTTTTCCTGGAATCCCAACTATTGTCCAGGCAACTTCCTGTCATTTGGTCCTGGGGCCAGGATCCTTGTGTCTGCCCAAAATTCTGCACTGCCCTCAGGTCCTGCGGTCTCCAGGCCAGGTGGTCAACAGACTCCCCATCTGTGGCTCCTGCTTGTTCCCCAGAGACCCCCAAACACCATCTCTGTCCCCTGACCCTTTTGTCTCCCCCTTCCCCTTGGTCACCACTCTCCAGCCTCCCCGACCATTTTTCTGTGTGTGGACCTTGTCAGTTTCTTTCCTGACGCACTGTGATATCTGAGGGCGGGCAGACTGGCACTGCCCACGTTTGGGCTGGAATGTTCTCTGTGGTGGGGGCTGCGCTGGACGGGTAGGATGTCGTGCAGTTTGCCTGGCCTCCACCCATTAGGTGCTGTTGCCTCCTACCCCTGGTTGTGACAACAAAAAGTACCTTCAGAAAATACCAATTGTCTCCTGGGGATCTGATCATATCCAGTGAGAACTTCTGCTCCAGAGAGCGAGGCTCGGGGCATCCCCAGTTTGCAGGTTTGCATGGGGGCTCAGTAGGAGCTCGTGAGGTCCCTTTACTATGACCGAGTCATTTGACTCCCCACCAATAGCCCCCTCTAAAAAATGAGGAAGCAGGTCCAGAGAAGGTCTCGGGCTTTCTCAGGGTTCTCAGCTGCTCAGGCGACTGAACCCCTGGCCTCCCTTGGCTTCCAAGAAGCAAACCCATTGCGTGCGACCAGGTAACCTCAGTCCTTACCCCTCCCCTGCAGTCCTCCACTCCCACTCCCAGCTTAACCTAACAGATGTTCCAAAACAGTGTGTGTGGGAGGGGGGCAGGCTGGCCCCCACGCCTGGGCTGTATTTCACTGATGAAGGGGGTTGGGTTTGCTAAGTAAGATGGATTTGACCTGCTCAATTCTCCCCCTAAGCCCCCACACAATGGCCCAATTATAAATTTCTCCTCTTCCTAAAAATATCTCACTTCCCTTGCTGGCTGTGGCCCAGCCAGCCAGGGGCTGAGAAGTCAGGACTCAGGTCCTGTGGATCTATAGGGATTCCTATCCAGCAGGAATCTGGCAGTGATCAGCAGCTGCTGTGTGTCCCTGGCCTGAGACTTGGCCTCTCTGGGCTCTGATTTCTTCATGTGGAATAAGAAGGATGGGGTAGCAGGGTGAGGGGGTTGGGACACTGATATTCTAGTTCACAGTGTTTACTCAGATCACGTTTCCTGCACAAATAACTGTGTGTCAGGACCAGCTGGACAGTGGGAACCAGGCAGATGTGGGCTTTGCTTTTTAGGGGATTCACCCAGTCTGACAGGAGAGGCCGCTGGGAATCAGTTAAACACTACATAAAATTACAGCAGAGCTGGGAGAGCTCATCAAAAGGGGCCTAAGGTAGTGGGGGAGGGGAGGGTTCTGGAGAAGACACTAATGAATGAATAGAGGTAGTTGGTCACAGAGGGTGATGGGGGCGCCCTGGCAGAGGGAACAGCCAAAGAAAGGCCCTGGGGTGGGAAGGCGCTTGCCAGAAGAGCACAGAGGAGGGCTGAAGGGTACCTAGGAGAAAGAAAGGACATTAAAGACGCTAGAGGCCTTGCAGGAGAAGGAGAAAGAGGAGGGGGACGAGGGTGATGGATTAGGAAGGAGAGAAGGATAGAGGGTGAGACAAACTGGGGAGGAGAAGAAAGAGGGGGAAGTAGGGAGGAGGAGGAAGAGGAGATACAAATGGAAGAAGGCCAGGAGATGAAGCTAGTAACAGAAGGAGATTTGATTCAGGGAGGTTGTCAATTGGCCTGAATCTAATTCATGTTGTAAGATCGCCCCCTGGCGACCCGCTGGAGAACAAGCAGGGAGATGGGGCGGATCCACCCTTGGGTCTACTTCTAGTGGCGTCTGAGTTGGTCGCAGAAAGTGTGACAGCCTGACCCAGGCCTTTAGTCTTCCAGTCTCCATTTCTCCATGAACAGAATGGCGACAATATGCCCTAGTCCCTCGCCAAGCGCTCCCTATGCTGATGGGTGCTTTGCCTGGATGTGCTGATGTGTTCGTCACTAAGCCCTAAGGACCTACTGCCATCCCCACTTCACAGAGGGCAAACTGAGGCTCAGAGAATAGCATGCAGAAGGCAGAGGCAGAACCGGAACTCAGGACCCCAGTCCTGTCCTAGGCTCCGGTGGCCTGGTCTGGCCTAACCCAGCTCCTCCCAAAGGACTTGGGAAACACGCCCTGGCTGGGCGGAACTTTGGGTATCCCTGGTGTTCCAAGATGCCAATTAAATGCTTGTGGCTGTCTGGGCTGGAGCTGTGGATGGCAGCATGGCCGAGCCAGGGCCAGAACCAGAGCCAGGGCGTGCTTGGCGGGTGCTTGCCCTGTGTGGGGCTGCTGTGTTCCTGGCGGCAGCTGCAGCCGGGGCAGCCCTACTGGCTTGGAATCTGGCCTCTGCGGCCTCCAGAGGGTCTCACTGCCCAGAGCTGGAGCCAGGGGTCAATGCCACGGTGCCCCCCGGGGACCCAATGCCAGAAGTCCAGGAGCTTCAGCGAAAGCTGGCGGAGGCTGCCCAACGAGAGAAGGCTCTGGCCAGGCAGCTGGACCAGGCTGAGAGTGTCCATCAGGAGCTGGAGGAGGCTTTAAGGGCCTGTGAGGGCCACCAGGTAAGCAGGCAGTGTTGTGGGCTGGGGCATCTAGAATGTGGGGACAGAGGGCCTGCACACACCCCCAGGGATGCCCCCTGGGAAGTCCCAGGGATGCCTGGGTTTCCCCAGTTCTTCAATGTGAATGAGGATAATACCATAAGCCCAACTCCTACAAGGCCGGTTCACCCTTGAGTTCACCTTCTGATCTAGAAGGCCCCACTGTTCTCTGCTATTTGCCAGATAAACTAGTGGCTAGAGAAGCCCCAGACCCCTGAGCCCACCTGGGGAGGCCCTGTTTTATCTTCTCCCCCAGGTGCCCACTCAACTCTCCCCACCGCCCAGCCAGTGTCCCAGCCCTATTTCTGGAAAAGGACATTCATGTCACCTGTAATTAGGAGACTAAACTTGGTTTCTTGGAGGAGGTACCAGCCTGGTCCTCCCTTTTCCTCTGGCCACCTCCTTCAAATACTTTCTTAACCCTTCCCACTCCTAGGCCTCGCAGAAGAACCATCCTCAAAGTCCCAACCATTTACATTCATTAACTACTGTGCACCTCTGTGTACCGGGCCCAGCAGAGCTTGGGCAGCGTGTGAATTTTAGAAATCAAAACAGACCTCTTACCCGCTTCCTGCCTGTCTAAGGAAAGGGCCTGGGACAGCCGAAGTTAAGAGAAGCCTGCCCTTGGTTCAGATTCTGATTTTGCCTCTAAATGGAAGGTGCTCTGAGGTCAGACTAGCTGCTTTACAGAATGTCTCAGAGGCGATGTCCAATCCAATCACTGTCAAACACCAAATGGGCTTGTGTTGGTTTGAAACCCGAGTGGGTGAGTCTAGATGTAGCTGGGATTGGAACCACAGTCTGACTGGAGAGCTAAACCCTTTCCGCATCCCCGTGTCTTGGGGTTGGGGGGCAGTGTACCTAGACAGAGACCTCTTTCCTGGCAGGCAGCTGTCAACATGCCATACCCAACTTCAGCGGCCATTTCTATGTTTTACAACTACAGGACCCCAAAGGACATTCCAACAAAGCCGAGGGAGCACCAGTGTTATCTCAATCTCCCCTAGAAAGGGCAGGGCAAATTCAGTCCTGCCCACCCAGGATGCCCTCTCACTTCCCCTCCACTCCGCAGAGCCAGCTTCAGACCCAGCTGATGATACTGAAGATTGAGATGGACGAGGCCAAGGCAGAGGGGACTCAGATGGGGGCCAAGAACGGGGCATTGACAGGTGTGTTGGGGAGCAAGGGTGCTGCTGGGCAGGGCTAGAGGTGGGAGGAGCCTAGAAAGTTCCTAGCTACACAAAAATAATGCAAACGACATGCAAATAAACGCTAAAACGTACGAAAGAAATGCACATACATGCAAAGGTCATAAAAACGCAAAAGCAACAGAACAGGCAAACGCCGTGTAAACGACTTCCAAAAGCAATGCAAACTTACGAAATGCAAATGACACGTAAGAGCCATGTAAACAGCATACAAATGTAATTCAAATAAGGCACAGCACGCAAGCAGTAGGCAGACTATAAGCTCCGACGCCCGCGCGCGGTCTCCAACCTCACCGCACACGCTGCGCCCGCAGAAGCCCTGGCGCGCTGGGAGGCGGTGGCCAATGAGTCAACTCGGCTGTTGGAAGAGGAACAGCGGCGCGCACGCGCGGCCGAGGCCGAGGGCGGAGCCTGCGCGGACCGGGAGGCGGTGCTGCGCGAGCGCGTGTGAGTGAGGGGAGGGGCAGGGGCGGGGCTTTGGGGAGAAGACTGAGGGGAGAATCCCAGTGGCCGCCCTGGAGTTGGCCCCTAGGGGTGATGAACGGGGTGGGCACTCTGGAAGAGGGAATCCCCAGGTTGGGGCCGGCACTCTGCAGGCATGGGGTTTAGGTTCGGGCGCATTTGGGGGTTCTGGAAGAGTGATGGAAGGGTGCAAGGAAAAATAAATATCGCGGGAGGGCCCCGGGATCTGGAGCAGAGCTTCCGGAGAAAGGGCCAGCGGGCCTTGGGGAGAGGTCCCCGGGATGGCCAGGGGTGAAGAAAGCATTGCGATCCTGGGGATGGGGTTCCCAGAAAAGGAGGAAGAGTGCTGAGAGGTCTGGGGTGGGGGGGTCGAGTGTCTGGGAACTGACCGGCCCCTCCTCCTTCCCAGCAGTAAAGCCCTGGAAGCCGAGATGGACCCCCAGCGCAGAGTGCCGCACCCTGGGGCATGCTCTGGGTCCCGACCCCGGCCAAGCGCCCGCTCACGCTCTCGCTCTCGCCCCCGCCCCAGACCCTCTGGGGGCTGCCGGCGCACCCGAGGGTGAGGCAGCCTCCCGCAGGATGTGGGCTCGAGGCCAGGACAGACACTGTACAGCCCCGGGGCGCACATGTATAGGGGTGCTCGTGCTGGATGAGGTGCCCGGTCGATATCCATCAACGCTCAGCTTTAAACCAGCTGCTCTGAACAAAGACGAAAAGGAGACTCGATGTTCTCTCACCGACTATCTTGTGCTTGCATTCTACAGACAAGAAACAGGCCCATTTAGTCACCCAGTGAGATCATGCTGATGTGGGGACTTAAGTCCCCTCTAAGGATAGCGTGGCCCTCATCCTACAAACATGGGGATTTAGGGTCCAGCCCTGGCTTGGGAGTGACCTGAAGAGGTCAGTTCTCCTCGTTGGGCCTCAGTTTTGTAAAATGAGTGATTGGAATCACATTTAGAGAGCTGGCTTCTCCTTGACACCAAAAACTGACAAAAGAGCACAGTAAGAAAACAGACCACTCTTCCTGTAAGAATGGTACGAAACTCCCACTGGAATTTTAGCAAAGAGAACTGAGTAAAATATACCACAAAAAAGGTGGCTTATGCCTGAGATGCAGGGATGGTTCAGTATTCAGAAGTTTGTTAATAAGATTCACCATAGTAATGGATCAAATGAGAAAAAAGTTCTGAAAAAAAGTCATCAAATTCAGGGACAAGGTGAGGAGAACTACTATCAAGTATTTACTATGGTTTTGGAGGTGCTAGCCAATGCATTTAGACAAGAAAAAGAAATAAGACACAATTATTATAAAAGAAGAAGGGAATTCATAGGTTGACAAGAAAACACTGTTTATACAGATCAAATGTTATTGAAATAACAAGTTTATGTGGCACAATTTCATGTTGTTTTGTGTTTTATATTTATATTTCACATAACTTTAGACTTATAGAAAAATTGGAAGATGAGTACAAAGAACTCCTGTGCACCCCTCACCTGGATTCCACAGATGTTAACTTTTACCACCTTTGCATGCACTCTCCCTTGTGTTCTCTCTCCCCCTCTCTACTTTTATTAAAAAGTTGAAGAAATGATGTCTCTTTGCCCATAAATACTTAAATTTACATTTCCTAAAAACAAGGACATTCTCTCATATAATCATGATACACTTATGAAAATTAGGAAATGGACATTGAGAATGTGCTGTTATCTAGTCTGCAGACCTTAAACAGATTTCGCCAACTGTTCTGGTAATGTCCTTTATAACAAAAGATTCTTTTGGCTCATATACTGTATTTGTCACATCTCTCTCATCTCCTCGCATCTGGAATGCCCCTCAGTTTGTCTTTGCCTTTCATAATTTTGGAATTTTTAAAAGCCCAGGCCAGTCATTTTGTGGAGTCCAAGTTTGGGTTTGCGTGGTGTTTCCTTATAATTTCAGGTTGGCATTTTGGGCAGGAAAACATCAGAAACAATTTAACCTAAAAATATTACTTCTGGTGGTACGATTATATATAGAAAACTAAAAGAACATACTGAAACTTTTCTATATTTAAACAACTAGCTAGAAAATTATTTGAAAGAAAAAAGAAGATTCATTTCAGATAGTTTTTTATACCCAGGAATAAACTAATTTCCCTATTATGTAAGGAGCTCTTATAAAAATAATTTTTTAAAAAAACAACTCATAGGAAAGTGTACAAAGTTCACAGAAACATACCAAAAAAGATGACCAACTTCACTCCTAGAAAAGAAATGTAAATTGAAGCAAAAATGTGGTACACTTTCCACCAGTTAGTTTAGCAAAAATAAAAACAAACACAAATTAAAACTTTGCAAATGCACTGTGTTGGCACTGCTGTGGAAACACAAGCAATCCCATACAACACAGGTGGAACTGCTCATTGGCACAACTACTTGAAAAGGCAGTTTTCTAGAATCTCTCAAAATTAAAGTGCAAATACCATTTGACCCATCAATTCCCTTTCTAGTAATTTTCTACAACTATACTTACATGGGTGCAAAGTGATAGGTTAAATGCAATGCAGAATCCTAGGTTGGATCCTGGAACAGAAAAACATTTAACGGGTGAATCAAAGTCCAGAGTTTAGTTAATACTAACATACTAAGGTTACTCTGTCAGTCTTAACAAAGGAATTGTGGTCTATAAGATGTTAACAATGGATGAAGCTTGGTGAGGGCTGTTCAGGGACTCTCTATATTGTCTCTGAAATTTTCCTGTAAATCTAAAGTTATTTCAAAATTTAAAATATACTTTTAAAGATTTTATTTATTTTTATTTTTAGAGAGGGGAAGGGAGGGAGAAAGAGGTAGAGAAACATCAATGTGTGGTTGCCTCTTGCACACCCCCTACTGGGGACCTGGCCCTCAACCCAGGCATGTGTCCTGAGTGGGAATCAAAGCAGTGACCATTTGGTTCGCCGGCCAGCACTCAATCCATGGAGCCACACCATCCAGGGCTAGAATGTACTTTTTAAAAGGAGAGGGAGGAAGAGGACATTATTACCAGATTCTTGGTAATTGCCATATAATTGGAAACAACCTCAATGTCAGCCAACTGGGGACTTTAAGTGAGTGTCCACCCAGTACAGTATTCACATGGTAGAATACCATGGTATTCACATTCACATGGTAGAATACTGTACAACTATTAAAAAGGCCAAAGCATATCTTCTGCAAGACACATAATGTAAAAAGCAGGAAAGCAATAACCCGAGGGGGACTTTTATCCAAATATTTCTAGAAAACACTGGTTACAACTGTGGCCTCTGGGCTAGGAACCGGGGGCCTAAGGCGCTGGTGAGGGAGGCAGCCTCATGTTTCTCTATATATCTCTTTGTAATATTTGCATTTTTAAAATCATGCACATGTATTATTACCTTTAAAAAATTAAATTTTGTTTTGAAAAATTCTTAAGAGGCTGGTTTGTGGAGAGGAGTGGGAGCCCTTCGAACATTGATCCTTCCTCAACCAATCATACTCCTCATGCCCCCACCCACCCCGGACTTGGTGGTGCCTGATCAGGGCCTTTACCTGAGAGGGGCCACCTGGATGGGGAACAGGTGGGTCGTACCCTGCAGGAGGAAGCAAGGCTGAGGGGAGGAGTAAGAGGGTCTGGCCTCTGTGTTCCACTGTTGGCCACCAGGGGACGCCCTAGCCTTCTTCCCATCTACCTCCTAGTAAGGGTACAGAGCTTGAGGCTAAGGGTGGGTCTGAGAAGCCCCCAACCCTGGCGAAAATCCAGAAGTGAGCAGGAAATGGCTCCTCCCTCTGGAGGCGGCGGGAGCAGGAGGCCAGAAGACTGGCCTTTGTCTAATTAAGATCCCCTCACTGTGTAGAGGTCCAAGAGCTGATCCACGTAAAGGGCGGGGCTCAGGGCTGAACCTGGGACCTAAAATATTATCATTATTATTCACTTATTCTTCTGGCTCCATTTTGACCATACCTGCGGAACACCTGAAACTCAGTTCCGAGGATGGAAAGAAGTGGGGAGCCATGGCAGGTGTGTGAGCAGGAAAGGCACAGGCAGATCTGGTGTCGGAGAGTTGGGGAGGGAGAGAGGGCAGAGGGGACTCTAAACCTTTGGGGACGCCCATAGGGTTGGGGGTGATCTAGGGAGAACAGGCCCATGCCCTGGCTGCACCAGGCTCCCCAGCTGCCCAAGGGAGCAAACAGCACTCCTTGGTGGGTCCTACCTCCCAGACCCCACCTGCATCCCACCCATCCAGGCCAGCCCCTGGTCTGACCTTGCTCTGTTCTGCCCTGTCTCTCCACCTGTCTAATTACCACTCAAAGTCTCTCTGTGTCTGAGTCTTTATCTCTGCATCTCCAACCCTGTCCCCAGCACACCTTTCACGTCCCTACCCTGGCCGCCTATTCTTAGCAACCCTGGAGCCTCCCTCCTGGCTAGAGAAAGGAATGGGGGGACTGAAATAAGAAGCCTCGGTGCAGCTGTGGGTGGAGAGCACCTGGGGCAGCAGCAGCTGACCTCACTAGCCCTCCAGTTCCATGTAAGAAAGTGGGTCACCTTTTTCTTAGCCAGGAACATGGAGGCCCAGAGAAAGTAGGCTGTTCCTCTCCAAAGGGCTCTCCTTGCCTTCTCTGCCACCTTCAAAAGCACAAAACTTAATCTTGCTTGAATTTAACCAAAACCCAAACGCACTGGCATAAATGTGGAGGGTTTTCTGAACTTTGTTGAGATTTTTCTTCACCAGAAATATCACTTCCTCAAAGACTTTCCAGAAGTTTAAACACACACACACACACACACACACACGAACTCCTCATGTCACCAGGAGGACTTCAGTGTCTATTTTCAGGTAGTGACAGAGCTGACTTCCTCGTGACAGTGTTCCCTTCTCTGCCCAAACAAATGAAACCAAATTGTTTTTTACTTTTCAAAACTTTAAAATTGAAGCCTAACTCTGGGATGAACTGAGGGAATTCAGATGATAGGTTCATGTGCAAAATTTCCTGTGAACATAACAAATTGTTTTCAGGAAAAAAACTGAATGCTTATCAGGGCTGATGCATTCGACCACGTGTGAATACAAGGACACCTTCTGCCTCTGGGGTTTTCTGGCCAGGGACACGGGCAGAATGTGTTCAGAAAGTCTGCTTTTAGAGATTTTAGACACTGCTGGCAAGGGTGACAATGGAAAACACTTTGTTGGAAGACAAATTGGTGACAGCTGTCAAAATGCAAAATGTGACTGTTTTGGGAACCAGTGATTTAATTTGTGGGGTTTTGCTATTGAATCTTATGCTGTTTATTGGAACAAAAATTTAGGAAAAAAATAGAAATGGTCTAAATGTTTATTGGTAATTATTATGGTATTGTATGTAGTGAAAACCTGAACAGGAGGCAAAAGGAATAAACAGATCCCAAAGACATAATGTTGAGCAAATAGAGGAATTTACATCATTAGTTTTTCCATGAAAAGAAAATCTAGCCCTGGCTGGTGTGGCTCAGTGGATTGAGTGCCAGCCTGCAAATCAAAGGGTCACCAGTTCGATTCCCAATCAGGGCAAATGCCTGGGTTGTAGGTCAGGTCCCCAGTAGGGTGCTCGTGAGAGGCAACCACACATTGATGTTTCTCCCTCCCTTCCCCCTCTCTAAAAATAAATAAATAAAATATTTTTTTAAAAAAGAAAATCTAGCTGAGATTAGTTTTATATTTCACTACATTGTGTTGGAATTTGGGTTTTTCTCACTATTTCTGGGCTATATGGGTCTTTCCAAGCTACATTGTAGTAATTTGAGAGGTTTTTAAAAAAGATTTTATTTCTTTATTTTTAGAGAGAGGGGAAGGGAGGGAGAAACATCAATGTGTGGTTGCCTCTTGCACACCCCCACCGGGGACATGACCTGCAGCCTAGGCATGTGCCCTGACTGGGAATCAAACTGGTGACCCTTTGGTTCAAAGCCTGCGCTCAATCCACTGAGGTATACCAGCCAGGGCTTAAATATTTTATTTATTTATCTCCAGAGAGAGGGGAAGGGAGAGAGAAAGAAAGGGAGACAAATATCAATATGTGGTTGCCTCTTGTGTGCCCCTATCTGGAGACCTGGCCTGCAACCCAGGCCTGCTACCTAGGCATGTGCCCTGGCTCGGGATTGAACCAGCAAACCCTCAATCCACAGGCCAGCACTCAGTCCACTGAGCCACACCAGCCAGGATGCAATTTGAGAATTTTAAGCATCGTCTTCTGTTTGAAACCTTTGGAGGATCGAGGAGGAGTGTCTAGACTTCCAATGGACTCAACAATGAAGCTTAACCCAACTCAACTACAGAGCCTTCTCAGATGCCCAGGGAAGAAGATTCAACTGCCTCTCAACCTGTTTCAGAAGGTCTAGCAAAGAACCTCAGTAACTTGACTCAACCCCAGTACCAAATCCCCTTCCCTTCTACCAGAATATTCACCCCAACAGCAGGACAGAGAGGAATTTACAGGGGCTGGGACTGGGGCTGGGTCGGAGCCCACTCTGCAGGAAGAAGCATGGAGTAAGGACATTGGCAACTGCTCAGAAAGAAAGGATGCAACGGATGTTACAGGTTATTAGATACCGCACCCTGTCTCTGCTCTGAAAAGACCCACAGGAGCGGGGCATTGAGATTGAATCAAGATTCAGAAGATTTAGATGTAGCCGCCATTATTGCCTGTATCATGGAGATCCTTCCGATAACATTAGCGTGGAGAATAATTGTGACGTGGGGTCAATTTAGTCATAGCCCTTATTCTTGTACTGTTTTTTTTTTCTTGCTAGTAATTTGAGGATCATTGTGCAGCAGCTTGGAAAGCTACTCTACACTAGGACAGACTATACACTGATATTATGATAACCTACAATATAAGGTCTGTAATGTGGGGTTTTTTTGCATCTCTTTTTTGTCTTCCTTGATACCAGAAACTTATAAGGAATCCATGCAGTTTGTATTTGAATGACTTCAGTCTACTTCAGATCCACTTTTTTATTTGACCAAAAGAAACACTAATAAGTCTTAAGTATTGCTGGTGTGTTTAAGAAGCATGAAATTCAACATCAAGAATTAGAAGCAAGTAATTTGTGTGGAAGGAATGAGAAAGAAAGAAAGAAAGAAAGAAAGAAAGAAAGAAAGAAAGAAAGAAAGAAAGAAAGAAAGAAAGAAAGAAAGAAAGAAGGAAGGAAGGAAGGAAGGAAGGAAGGAAAGAAAGAAAGAAAGAAAGAAAGAAAGAAAGAAAGAAAGAAAGAAGGGAAGGAAGGAAGGAAGGAAGGAAGGAAGGAAGGAAGGAAGAAAGAAAGGAAGAAAGAAAGGAGAAAGAAAGGAAGAGAAAGAACACTGGGTGGTTTGGCCAGAGCATAATTAACACAAGGTGTGTTAACTAGATGCTCTGGTTTTCAAAATTTTGAATTGTACATTTTTTGACGTGCTATTTCAATTTTTAGTAGCAAGTAAATGTGTGTATAGAGGATCTGATTAAAATTTGAGGTATATTTGAGTACCTTTTAAAAAATCTAGCTATTGCCAGGTAGCTCAGTTTTTCAAGTATTGTGATGACACACCAAGGCTGCAGGGACCAACAAATACATGAATAAGTGGAACGACATAATCGATGTTCTTCGCTCTTTCTCTCTCTCACTCTCTCTCTTTCTCCCCCTCTCTGTCACTGGCCTGAGGCCACACAATGGTAAGTGGCACAGCCAGAACTTAACTCCACAGCCCTGCATTGTAACTGTGAATTCACTCTGCCTACGATGGCCCCATTAAGGAGGATGGAAGACGACCTTCTCCCACCTGCTGGGATTGGGGGGAACTCTGTGGCCCTGGCCAACCTCGAAGAACAACTGGTTGGGCACCTTCCCCCTCTCTCTCTAAAAAATCAATTAAATTTTTTAATTTATTAAAACAAGTTGTTTGAAAAAAGGAGCATTACAAATAAAGGATGTGAGACCAAATTTCCAAAAAGAAATTGAATATTATTTTTTATCTTTATACAAAGACATTAGTGTGTATTTTTAATACCCTTATTCTTTTTTATGAAGAATTTATTATTTTTTAAAGATTTTATTTATTTATTTATTTTTAGACAGAGGGGAAGGAAGGGAGAAAGAGAGGGAGAGAAACACCAATGTGCAAGAGATACATCGATAGGTTGCCTCTCACATGCCCCCCAACTGGGGACCTGGCCTGCAACCCAGGCATGTGCCACTGGGAATCGAACCAGCAACCTTTCAGTTCACAGGCCGGCGCTCAATCCACTGAGCCACACCAGCCAGGGCTAAACATTTTTTTAATCCTCACCCATGGATGTTTTTATTGCTTTGAGAGAGTGAGACAGAAACATCAATCAGTTGCCTCCTGTATACACCTGAACTGGGTATTAAACCTGCAAGCTAGGTATGTGCCCTGACCGGGGATCAAACCTACAACCTTGGTGTTTCAGGATGACACTCCAACCAACGGAGCACTCGGCCAGGGCTTACCTCCGTTTTAGAGAGGAGAAAATCGAGGCTCAAAAGGAGGAGGAGGAGGTCACTGGCCTGAGGTCACACAATGGTAAGTGGCACAGCCAGAACTTATCTCCACAGCCCTGCATTGTAACTGTGAATTCACTCTGCCAACGATGCCCCATTAAGGAGGATGGAAGACGACCTTCTCCCACCTGCTGGGATTGGGGGGAACTCTGTGTGACCCTGGCCAACCTCGAAGAACAACTGGTTGGGCACCACTTGCAGCCCCCAACCCTCCTCCCTTCACTAACCAGATGGGAAGGGTCTGGGAATCAGGAATCACCGGGTAGCTCTGAGGACCAAAGGTCAGACAGGGGTTTCCTGCCTACCCCTGGGAACTTCCTCCTTCCCCACACAACTCCTGCCTCCTTGGTGGACACCACCCTGGAGCCCCGCTCCCCGCTGTCGGCACCCCCCACTCCATCACACCGGCTAATGGGGGATGGGCCCCCCTGCAGCAGCTGTCACCCAGCAAGGGTCCAGCCTCCTTGCCTCCTCTTTGTCCCTTTCTCCTTGGCCCATTCCTCCTTCCTGTCACCTGAGAACCCAGGGGGCTATGGGCTGTGTCCAACTCTGTCTCCCCAAGTCTGAGGACCCCACCCCCCTGGCTGGGGCTGGGGCTGCTGCCTCTTGGAAGGGCCTGACATCACCCAACATGGGGGGTTTCTCTGAAACTCCTGGTTCTGGGGTGACAAGCAGGAGGGTGCACCCAGAACTCTGCTCCTTGGTTCCAAACTCTCCTCCATGCCCACCTGGGGGTGACCCCCAGTGAGGCTCTGCCATGTGACACTTCCTGCTCACCATCTCACGGAGCCCCAGAATAATGCTTCTAGCCCCTCCCCAAAGCCCTGTGACTGGGCATCGTGTGTACCCCATATTATAGACGGGGACGCTGAGGCACAAACAGAAGAAGCCCCTCCCATGAGCTAACACAAGCCAGACCAGCTCTCCCTGGCTCCAAGTTCATCACTGTCATGCTGCTGCCCCCAGTGTTCTTGTTAAGCACCTGTGTGAGCTGGGATTGGGTGGGACGACAGCTTGGGGGATCCACGCCACCACCATCCTCGGACCAGCCCTCCGTGAGCTAAGGGCTCTGCTCGGTTCAGCCCACTTAACTGGCACAGCCCTGTGAGGTGGGCACACATCCGCAGTCAGCCTGCTGGGAGGGAAGCAAACACGGAGAAGGAACAGCTTAAGATCCAGAGGTGGTCCCTTCTCCTCCCTGCACCTCAGTTTTCCTCCTCTGCACAGTGGGGATGCTGACGGGACTGCATCTGCTGCAGGCACTGGAAACAGTGCCGGACACAGGCAGGGGCCAGTGAAGATACTGAGGCTCAGAGAGGTTGAGAAAGCCAAGTCACCCGGCTGGTGCCCCACCCGGTATTAATCAGAGAGGCTGGCAGGCCTTGGTGTCTGCCCCCCACCCCGTGCCCCGCCCTCCCTTCACAGCCTGGGTGGGAGTGTTGAGATAACCCACTGCCCCCTGTTTCCTCTTGGCCAGGAAGGAGCCAGGCAGAGGAAGTATTAAGACGAGTAATATAAACACTCCCCCCTGTGGGCGGCAGGGTCCAGAAGGGGCACAGCCACTACCCAGAGCACAGCAGGCAGCTGAGCAGCGCCAGTGTGCCAGGCAGCAGCCCAGGGAAGAGATGGGCCTGGCCACAGAGCACGGGGGGCCCTACTCTCGGGCCGGGACCAGCTCTCACGGCTGCTGGTATTACTTGCGCTACTTCTTCCTCTTCGTCTCACTCATCCAGTTCCTCATCATCCTGGGCCTGGTCCTCTTCATGGTCTACGGCAACGTGCACGTGAGCACCGAGTCCAACCTGCAGGACGCCGAGCGCCGGACTGACGGCCTGTACAGCCAGGTCGTGGGGCTCACAGCCATCCAGGCCAACCTGTCCAAGGAGCTCAACCTCACCACCCGCGCCAAGGATGCCATCATGCAGATGCTGCTGAGCGCCCGCCGGGACCTGGACCGGATCAATGCCAGCTTCCGCCAGTGCCAGGCTGACCGGGTAAGGCCAAGGGCCCCACACTGGCCCTGGTGACCCCAGGAAAGTCACCTCACCTCTCTGAGCTCAGTTTCCACATCCACAAGATGGGGAGGCCCAGACCCTACATTTTGCCTGAGGAGCCCTAGTAGATCAGCAATGCGTATTTTGTTTGTACAAGTATATCCCATGCAATGGCTGGGACATGCTGAAAAAACAAACTATGCACTACCTATCTGGAATTCAAGTGTAACTGGGTGTCAGCCCTGAGCCCACGACTTAATATCAAAAAGCACCCAGAATGTGCCAGTGGCAAAAACACTGCACCCAAGAACGGGCCAACTAAAAACTCAGAACTTTCGGTTCTTTCTTAGTAATAAGTATGAATTGCCTATATTTGTCTTATGCTAGTATCCGCTCTAGAAATATTGTCTCATCGCCGAAGCCCAAGAGGTAGGGAGAAACTCTAAGCTTTTTTGCAGATGGGGAAATGAAAGCTTGAGAAGGGGGCAGCTATCCCTGGGGGGCAGAAGCAGGCGGCCCCCAGGAAAAAGTCACAGCAGCACATAGAGGGGTCTCACAGAGACTCTCACCCCCTCGCACTCATGTCAGACTCACTGGGCAGTCGCCCGTGCTCACGCTCACATGTGCCACACACGCACTTTGTCTGTAGAGGCTTTGGTGCCAGAGACACTGAGCAGGGGGCTCTCCCCTCGGGCCCTGGCTGGGATGGGAGGAAGGCTGGGTGGAAATAGCCTAGAATTTTCCCACAGGAGGGGTCCTGGCTGGCTGGTACGGGAGGTGGCAGTCGGGCTGGGGTAGGATAAGCCTCTGCTGGATCCTCACACCACCCAGCCCTCCTCACTGGACAGAGAGGCCTCCTCAGAAGTGCCCCAGGAAGGGTCATGTCTCCCCATCTCAGACCCCAGGGCAGGGCGTGTCTCCCGCAGACTCCCAAATGGGTTTAGGTGCCCCTGTGATGCCCAGAATGGGGAGAGTCCCTCTTAGACTCCAGAGCAGGGCAGGTCTCCCCTCAGACCCCCAGGGAAGGACAGCTCCCCGTCAGGCCCTCAAACGGGATGAGTCTTCCTTCAGATGCCATAGCAAGGCAAAATGGGGAGAATTCCCCCTCAGGCCCCTTGGGAAGTATGGGGAATCCCCCATCAGACCCCCAGATGGGGTGAGTCCCCCCTCAGACCTCCAGCCTGGGGCACATGCCCCCTCAGACGCCAAGGGCAGGGCTGTGCACTTCCTTAAGCCCCCGCCCAGGTGGGGCGGCCCCTCAGTTGTCTCACTCCCTGGGAATCTGGATCATCCAGGACACGCACTACGTCACGTCCAGTGGTCCAGCCAAGGAGGCACGAGGAGGGAATCAGGGTCCTGAAGGGTTAGACACGCAAGTGCCCCGGAACTCAGACTCCGTCCCAGAAGGTCAGGGATCTCAGAATCCGGATCTTCACAGCTTCGAATTTTGAAAAACAGGCTTTTATTCACTTAGAGTTAACAAATTCCTCTGGGCTGGAACCCCTCAGGGTTTTCTCTTGAGCCCATGATCCCATGGATCCCATGCCCCCATCCCCAGAGGGAGGGCGCTGGGTGCTGTGGGGCAGCCCCGGACCTGCCCCAGCTGCTCTCCCACGGCCCCAGTGTCTGATGGTAGCAGATGTGAACCTTGGTCTTTCCCCAGTTCTGCCGGTGCTGAGAAACATGCTTTTTCTTAAACCATGTGCAAGTACAGCTGCATTTCCAGCCCTGAGATCCTGGGAGAGAAAGGAGACTTGGACTCAGTGATTTTTTTTTAAGGTCTGCCCACTGCCACCTGAATCAAGGTGCCAGGACCCAGGATGTGGGTCACTTGTTCTAACCGGATGATGGCCTCTTTCTCACTTTGTGTTCGGCTCCATCTCACACTGGCTCTCCCTGCAGCCCCCTCCCCCTTCCCTGGCTCAGGCTTGTGGAAACAGAGGTGACTGAATCTTCCCAGCTGTTCCTCTGACCCCCCACTCCAGGGCACCAGCACAGGTCCAGCTTCCTCGGGACAAGGAGTGACAGAAAGACAAACCCCTGTACTCTTCATATATTTACTTGCTGTATTTCTTCGCAGGGTTCTGTTCCAAAGTTCAGAAGGCATGGCCTTCACTATATCGTAAAAAGCTTAATTCACGCGCCATGTAACTGATCCACTTAAAGCGTCCAGCTCAGCGATCTTTAGTGCACTCGCAGAGCTGTGCGCCCATCACCACAAACAACTGCAGACTGGTTTTCATTGCCCCAGAGGGAGACCCCGTCCCCATTAGCAGACACTCCACATTCCTCCCTCCCCACAGCCTCTGGGAACCGTTCATCTGCTTTCCGTCTCACGGATTTGCTTATTCTAAACACTTTACCTAAATAGAATTGACACTGTGTGGCCTTTGTGACTGACTTTTATCACTCAGCATCATGTTTTCAAGGTTCGTCCACACTCTAGCTTGGCCCGCTGCCTCCTTCCTTTTCATTGCCAAATTGTATTAATTGTAACAACACCTGAAGGTCAGACCAGCTTTCCCTCCACAGGAGCCACTCCCTTAGGAACTGGGCAAAACTAAGTCGTCTGGCTGCTGGATTTGGGGCTCCAGCTCCGAGGATCTGGGCAGCCCAGGGTCAAGGGGCCCACAGGCCCCTCTGAGCTCTGTCCTGTGTCCCGTCTGGGCAGGTGGTCTACGTGAACAACCAGAGGTACATGGCTGCCATTATCCTGAATGAGAAACAATGCCAAGAACAACTCAAGGAGGCTAGCAAGAGCTACAACAGTGAGTGGCCTGGGCAGTGGGGGGACAGGGTGGTGGCCTCCCTGTCCAGTTCCTTGGCAGCCCCCCAACTTTCCTGAGTCTTATCATCCTACACCTGTAGCCTCGCTCCTCCTGCTGAACCAGAAGGCCAAGATGCTAGAGATGGAGCTGGCCAAGGAGAAAGCTCTATGCACCAAAGACAAGGAAGGCCTGGGGCTGAGCAAGAGGCTGGTGGAGGAACAGCTGGCCGAGTGCAGCAAGGCCCAGGAGCAGCTGCGGCAGGAGCGACAGCTGGCCGTGGATCGACTGCAGAAGGTGCAGGCCCTCTGTCTCCCACTGGAAAAGGACAGGTTTGAGACGGACCTGCGCAACCTCTGGAAGGACTCTGTTATCCCGCGCTCCCTCGAGGGGCTGGGCTACCATGCCCTTGGCTTGGATTTGACCACCATACGGAGAACCTGCGATCACATGCCTGCCCTCATGAGCACTAAAGTGGACGAGCTGGCGCGGAGCCTGCGGGCTGGCATCGAGCGTGTGGCCCGCGAGAACTCAGACCTCCAGCGCCAGAAGCTGGAGGTCGAGCAGAGCCTGCATGCCAGTCAGGGGGCCAAGGAGAAGGCAGAAAGGGAAGCCCAGGCCCGGGAGGCCAAGCTCCAGGCCGAGTGTGCCAAGCAGACCCAGCTGGCGCTGGAGGACAAGGCGGCACTGCGGAAGGAGAGAGACAGCCTGGCCAAGGAGCTGGAGGAGAGGAAGCAGGAGATCATGCAGCTGAAGATGCAGCTCGATGTCAGAAACTCGGCCCTGGACACCTGCATAAAGGCCAAGGTAGGCTGTGGCCCTGGATTCGGGTGACATTGGGGTTGGGCCTAGCAGCCAAACTGGTGGTGACGTCTAACTCGGGTTTGAGGTTGGTTTGTATTTGGGTTACTTAGGACTCACTGCAGAGTTTTGTGGACCTTAGGACAGGGGCCAAGCTGACACGGGATCAGCGCCAGGGGAGAGGGCGGGGTTAAGACTGGAGTCGGAGGTAGGGCGGCTGTCAGTCCAGGGCCAAGTGAGGGGCGAACCTAGAGTATTGGTTGCTTTGTGGTCGGGCTGCGTTGAGGCATTGAGGGTGGACTTAGAATTTAGGCTAGGGTCGCACGTCGGTGGCTATTGAGCGTACAGTTGGTTTAAGGATTATGATTATATATCCACGTATTGGCATTAAGATTGAGGTGGAGTTTGAAATTGTGAATGACACTGAAGAAGGGTTAAGGATCAGGGTGGAGTTCAGAGCAGCCGGATGGGCCTCAATGTTGGTTTAGGGTGAAGATTAGGGATTCACTGAGTGAGGGCTGGCGTCAGGGCCCGGAATTGTTCGAGTCGAGTGGGAGTGTCGGGGCAATGGGTCAGGGCTGCGAGTGGCGTGGGGGTTACCGCGAGGGCTCGGGCAGGTCTGGAGCAAGGCTTGATGGGATGTTGAGTTTGTGTTTAGTGTTGGGTCAAGGAGAGTTCTGGGTGGCTGCCATGTCTAGAATTGGTTTGGGTTAGGATTAGGTTCCATCTCACTAGTCTTAGAATTGGGATTGAGTTTGGAGTTTGGGTTACAGGAAAGGTTAAAAATTGGGTCGGGGTTGCATGCAGGGGAAGGCTGGGTCTAGGGTTGGGGGAGTGAATCTAGGATGTCAGTGGCACCGGGATTGGGCCGAAGCACTGCAGCCGGAGTTGAGGCTCAGGTGGGTGCAGGTGGCTGAGGGGTCTAGAGATGGTTAGCAGTTTGGGGCCAAAAGTGGATTTAGGATCTCAGGGGCATGAGGAGAAGCAGGGACCAATGCTGACCATGAGTTAGGAGCTGGAGTCGGGGCGGGTTTGGATGGCTGGTTGCGCGCTGACTTGGGCTGGCACTGGGATGTGTTTGAGGTGAGGAAGTAGGTGGCCCTGGCTTAGGATGGGGGTACGCTGGCAGGGTACCAGATTCATGTTGGGATCAGATTTTAAGAAATTTGGGTTCAGAACTGGTTTTGGATTTCAGGTTTGGGGGACTTGGCTCCAGGGTGTTTGAGGCATGGCAGTAAGACTCGGGGTCCAGGGGTTTACAGAGTGGGCGACTTCAGTCTGCAGGGGTGGGCACTGGGTTGGGTGGATGGACTCAGTGGGAGTCAGGGGCTGGCCCTGCAGAGCGGGGTCTCTGGGGAGCTGCCAAGCGAAGCCAGTCCCTGGAGTCCCCAGTCATTCGAGGGCAAGTAGGCACAGTGATGATTATGCATCCCTCAGCACCTGCGCCCCCCCATGCGCACCTGTCCATTTCTCCGCCTTGGGAAGACCTCACAGCCGGCCTCCAAGGGCGAGGAGGGCCAGGAATCTCCCTGGCACTCTGGTTCAGGGGTCTCAGCATCTACCAACCTCCCTCTACCTTCTTCTCGCAGTCACAGATGGGGCCTGTGCCGAGACCTATTGGACCTGTCCCCAACCCCCCGCCCATTGGTGAGTGAGGGCAGAGCCGGGAAGGGGGCTGCTGCCTATCCCTAGCCCAGGGGAAGGTGCCCCTAAGGCAATAGATTGGGCCTAACCCCCTCTCTTGGCAGACCCAGCTGGCCTGGAGGAATTCAAGAAGAGGATCCTGGAGTCCCAGCAGCTCTCTGCAGGCAATGCAGCCCCATCCAGGTGAGGTGCTGCACAGGTTGCAATGTTCAGGCTCAGTGCTTTGGTCTCAGGACTTGCTGCTTCCCTAATTGAGTGCCCGCTGTGTACCAGGCCATATGCTGGGCCCTGAGGACACAGGAGTGACCAAGATGCATGCGGCTCCACTCATGACTCCACTCATGAGCCTCCAAGTAGGGGGCCAGAGAGACAGTGATGGAGCTGTGGTAAGAAGCATGACCAAGAGCCTACAATTATTAGGTGCTTAGTGTGAGCCTGGCACAGTTCTAGCACTCTGCACTATTAACTCATTCAGCCTATCAGTGGGTGAGCTACTGTTACTCCCACTTTCTGGGTGAAGAGTGAGGCACAGAGGGGCTGTGCATCATGCTCCAGGGAGCCCAGCGAGGGAGGAGCAAGCTGGGATGTGAGCCCAGGTGATCAGACTCCGGATAGGCCAGGGGGGGCCTCGGTGAGCAGAGGACCCCTGAGCTGGAGCAAGCCTGGGGAGGGCAGGTGAACGGCTCTCCAGGCGGCATGAACAGCTGGGGAGAAGGTCCAGTGGCCTGGCCCAGGGTGGGGGAGGGCGGCTGCAGTGGAGGGAGGGAAGGAGGGAGAGCAATATGTGGGAGTGACCTTGGGCCTCTCACTCCACCCCTCACTTTCTATTTCTACAAAAATGGGGGCCTCTGAAATCCAGGGCACGGAGACACTTTGCCCGCAGTGAACTGCTGCCCAGCAGTGGCTAGGGCGAGGGTCTGGGGGCCTCAAGGATGGCTGGCCCAGGCTCAGGTCAGGGCTCCACGCCTCCCAGGGCCGATGCCCTGCGCATCACAGGGAAGGAAACTCCGGCCTCCGCCCTGGGGACTACCAGTGCTCCCCACTAGGCAGAGGCCACACCCCCTCTCAGAAACACACCGCTGGCCCAGGACCTGGGGATCCTCAGTCCCATTTGCTGAGGTTGGAGGGAGGCACTGAGATTTTAAGTCAGACCCCCTCGGCCCCCTAAGCCGGTGGTTTCATCACCAGACTACCGTCCACCTGGGTCTGTTTCGACTTCAGGGCGCTCAGTGCGGCCTGGGGTCCAGACGTCCATCCTCAACAGCCCGAGGTTCACCACAGGTGCCCCCTTCTCCACTACGCACCCCCTCGGCCTGGAGTTCACCCCGCTGAGGAGTGAGGAGATCTCCTCGCTCCAAAGGCTCCGTCTGGGCGAAGCCCCGCAGCCTCAGGCGGCCTGCAGAGAGGGGAGCAAGAGGGTAGGGAGAAGCCCCTGCTGGGAGCAGACAGATTTCCTTTCTCCATCTTGGCTTGAAGCCACCGTGGCAAGGAAGGAGGTTCTATTCTTGTCCCCATTTTGCAGAGAGGGTACTAAGGCCCCAGGGAAGGGATCAGCCCAGGCGTCATGCGTCAGCAAGCCAGGGCCAGAGCCAGGCCTGTCCAGGTCCCAGCTGAGACCGGGGAAGCTCTTGACATTGTTTACCCCAAATGCTGTCCCCCTGCTAAGGAAACAATGCCCTCTTCAGCCTGGGCCCCTCCTGCTTATCTCTGCAGGGTCTCAGGAAGGGCCTCTGGCTCCCTGAGCTCCTTCCCTTGAGAAAGGGGCTGGGGACAGCAGGCCAGGGCCCTCCGCTCTGGGTCCAAGTCCTGACCTGGCCAGCCACTCAGAGGGTAACCGCAGGCAATCACTGGCCAGAGAGCCACAACATCCAAATTTTAGGTGTACCCAATCAGGGGCCAGGCCTGAGGTCCAGCATCGACTCACCCACCCCACTATGTAGGAGCTGATTTCCTGATTAGCCGTGTTCCTCTGCACCTGGAGAAAATCTCCGCCAGGGCCAACTCCCCCCACCTGCAGCCTCCGACCCGCGTGCCCGGCTCTCGTGTCCACAAAGCAAGGGCAGGCCCAGGGCCCAGCATCTTTAGGGCTTGAGCACAAGGTCCTGCTTCTTAATTGCACATTTTGGGGCCATTTTCCATCAATGGCGAGTGCGTGACCTTTCCTATGCTTGGTAAGACGGGGTATCCAGTGGAGGTCAATCTCACAAATTCAAAGAAAACACAGCTGAGAGGAAGAGATGTGAAGAAAACACTGGTTCCGGGGCCATATGGCTGGAGGTGGGAGAGCCTCGCTGCGGAAGGTGGAGGACAGGAGCGCAGCCCTGGTTCCAAGCCGGGCACACAGCGAGCGCTGCTCGAGTTCGTTGTTTGTTCACTCAACACGCATTTCTTGAACCGCTGCTAGGCGCCTGACACAGGCAGGAATCAGGTGCAGAAACTCACGCCCTCATGGGGCTCACATTCTCATGGGGAGACGGATAATAAACCAGACAAATGAGTCATTATAAGGCCCTGTGGTGATGGGTGAGATAGAACAGGGATGAGAGAGTGTGAGAAAGTTAGGATTTTCCACAGGGAGTGGGGTGGGGGTCAGCATGGCAGGCTTCCCTGAGGAGGTGACTTTTGAGCAGAGAAGTAAAGGAGGTGAGGGAGGAGCCACTGGCAGGGAGAGCGTTCCTGGGAAGAGCGCACCAGGCCCAGAGCACAGCCTGTGCAAAGGCCCTGAGGCAGAGCCACGTCTGGTGAGTGTGAGCGAGGAGGCTGATGTGGCTGGAGCTGAGTGACCAAGGGGGCAGAGTGAGATCAAGGAGGTGACAAGGGGACGGTTTAGGCAGGGCTCTGTGGTGAGGACACTGCTGTCAGCAGAGGAGGCTGTGACCGGATTCAGGGGTCAGCACCCTCTGGTCTGGTGGGGGGAGAAGGCGGGAGCCAGAGATCAGTGTGAAGCCGACCCACCGCACTGGTCCAGGTCAGCACGGGAGTCCAGGAGCCTCGGTCTGTGGAAAACAGCCAGGGGCGGCCCTGCCCCATGGACTGGCCTGCACAAGTGAGTGAAGCATGGGCGTCAGACAGAGGCTGAGCTGGGGAGGGTGGACCGGAGCCAGTGAAGGAACGTGAGGCCAGGGCCCCAGGGGAGAACCAGGGAAGGAAGGGAGGGGGCCAGCGGAAGCAGACTTGGCTGTGGCCCCCTCCTCCCCCACCAGGAAACAGCCTCTGCGCCAACCCCTGACCCCTCAGGAGAACCTTTGCCAGGCCAGGGGGAAGGGCATTCCCGACAGCAGCAGGATGGCTCCTGCAAAGGGGGTGGAGTGGAAGCAGGATAACAGTTCTGGCATTTGGGGGAACTGTGGTGGGGGTTGAGTCCCAGAGAGGAGGCCTGGTGGGGAAGAGTGGACGGAGCCTTGAAGTCCAGATCAAGAGGTGGCTCTGTCCTGAGGGCATGGGGGTGGGGGGCGGCTGGAGAGCAGGCGAGTAGGGGCCGCTCCTTAGAAAAACCCTCCTGGGAGTGAATATATGGGCATGGGTGTGGGCAGGACAAACTCCCAGGACCCCCAGGACCTTAGGGAGCAAAGATGACATTCCGACAGACTGCAGCAGAGGTCGGGGGCACAGGAGGGGCCCCACTGAACCTCCGCCTTCTCTTCTGTGCAATGAAGAGGCACGCATCTCGGGCCCGCCATCCCAGAGACGTGCAACAAGTAGGGGTCCATCAGGGGGTCGAAACCCGAAGGAGCCGAAGAGTCAGAAGGCAGCGGTCGAGGGGTCGGGTAGGAGGAGGCAGGCCCGGGCAAGGTTCGTCCTTCTGACTGCTGCATTCCTGTTTCCTCTCTGCCCCAGTGGCTGAGCAGGCTCCAGGCCCCAAGGACCGAGGGGTGGCCCAGATTCCCCGCTCTGCAGACCTGTTGCAGCGAGACGCCCACGGCGCGGGACACAGCAAGGGCTGCAGTCAGGCGACCTCCATGCACACGCACCATAGTGGGCACCCTTGGCCACACTCACCTCCCCACCCAGGCCCCAGTACTCTCATAGCCCACCCCTGCACCACACGGTCCCTCACCCACAGGTGCCACGATGACAGCCCACGGAGACACGGTAATGATGTCACACAGACATGTGACATGACACACACGTCTGTCAAACCCTTGCCCAGTGTCTCAGCCCTGCACACACACAGCCCTGCACACACACTCAGCCCTGCACACACGCAGCCCTTCGCCCTCCCCCTCAACCTCCTGATTCCCTTATCTCCCGACTTCCTCACCCGCAGCCCTTCAGGCCTGGCGAAGTGAGAACAGGAAGACATTCACCTCCATCCCCAGGAGAATTTCCAGACCCTCCTTGCACTCCAGGGAACATCTGGTCCAAGGGCGAATTAGCCCGCTGGCCCCGTCATGGCCGGCAAGAGCACAGCTCCTTCGCTCCCTCTCCCCCCACACCTTGCCTGTGGTCCCTAGGAAATGTTAGTGGCACTAAATAAATGTTATCAGTCCCTTCAAAGACTCCAGAGTCATGGTTTATGCTTTGAAACGACACCACATGGCCTTGAGCAAGAGAAAGACTAGAAAGGACACGCAAACTGGAGGGCCCCTGCCCACGCTGCCCCAGCGTCCCGGGGCCAGAAGACCCAGAGCAACTGTGGGGGGCACCCATGTCCCCCACGGCCTGGGCAGCTGTGTATAGGAAGATGCAGCATTGTGGTCAATTCTGTGTTTCTTTAAGACAGCAGATATTCACAAAGCAGATTCTTACTGAGCAGAGTATCCTTTTGCAGCTTTCATTCTTCTAGATTTGCAAAGATTCCCCCAAGTCTTGACAACGTTTGTTGAGGTTACCACAGCCTGTCGTGAATTGCAGGAACTCCTCCTTGCCAAAATTATTCCAGGAACAATATCACAAAAGTCTCAGGTCATTTGTTTTGTTTTGTTGTTTGTGGCAAGATGGGATGTCAGAAAGTTCACCAGTCTACTTTGGGAGTGCTTCAACTCCATGATCAGGTAGCCGGGGAAAAGCACAGCAGAGGAACACAGGAAAATCGCAGTGTACCCAGCAGACTGGAAAAAAAAAAGCTTAAAGTCCCTAATATCTACTGCTGGTAAAGATGTAAAAAAAAAAAAGCGGGGGGGGCGGAGGGGGCATCTTCCTACAGGACTGGCGTAAATGAAAATCTTGTCATAGCTCTTCTGGAAATTAGTTTGGCAATATGTAATAAAAGTAAAGATCTACCACCCTGGCCAGTGTGGTAGAATGTCGGCCTGTAACCAAAGGGTTGAGGGTTCAGTTCCCTATCAGGGCACATATCTAGGTTGTGGGTTTGATGCCCAGTCCAGGCCCATACGGGAGGCAACCCAACAATGCTTCTCTCTCTCTCAATATTTCTCTCTCTCCCTTCCTCTTTCTCTCAAAGTAATGAAAATGTCCTCAGGTGAGGATTAAAAAAAAAAGTAAAGATGCACCAACCCTTTGACCCAGTCACCCCATTCCTGGTGCCTCATCCCTGAAACATAAAAACTCCAGAAAAAAAAGCAAATGGCCACCAATGGAATAAACAACCTAAAAATTGTAATCTAGAATCTCAGTTTGTACCCCCACCCCCACCCCAACTGACCTTGATTCCCTCCCAGTCCATCCCCTGGGACTGGGGCAGGGCGGGGGATGAGTCAGGAGGCGCTGGGGCTGGCAGCTCATGCGGGGCAGGCCGGTCTGGAGGGACAAAGGAGCGATACTTCCTGGATGCGGAAGTGCGGGTGAGAGACAGCTGCTGCAGGAAACGCTGGCTGGGGCCCCGCCAAGTCAAGGCAGGGGGGTTAGCCAGGGCAGGCGCCCAGACAGACCAGTCTGGAGGCCCCAAGGAAGTGGGGACATCCCTGTGACCCTGAGCCCAGTGCCTGGGCAGCCTGAAGTCCTGGCCTGCTGACGCGGGCCAGCCCCAGCAAACATAAGACGCCGGAGTTTGGGTCTGGAGCCAGACATCCTGGATTCAGATCTTGACTCAGTCCATCACAGCCTCCATTTTCTCATCTGAGAAATGAGTGTGATATAATCACTCTGAACTCGCTGGACACGTGGGTGCAGGTCTCTCACTCTTGGTTGGTCTCTCCCATCCAGAGCATCCCAGAATGTCCTCCCTCCAACCAGCCCCCACACCCAGCCCTCCAACACCCAGCCCTCAGCCTCTGCCTCCGCTGTGGTCTCCATGCTGGTCCAGAGGGACTTCCTATCACGGGATCTGACCTCAGCCCTCTGCTGACACAGCTCCCCAATACCCTGGGAACAAAGTCCAGTTCCTCATCTCTGTTGTACCCCCCTCACCCCATGAACAATGAACCCCAGCTCCAGCTGTCCTGGATGTTTAATTCTCTGACTAGAGTCACTGACTTTTTAAAATCCTCACCCAAGGTTATGTTTATTGACTTTTTAAATTATTATTTTCATTTTACTTATTTATTTTTAGAGAGATGGAAAGAGAAGGAGAAAAACATTGATGTACTAGAGGTACATTGATTGGTGACCTCTTGCACACTCCTGACTGGACACTTGGCCCGCAACCCAGGCATATGCCCTGACTGGGAATTGAACCAGCAAACTTTTAGTTCATGGGCTGGCATTTAATCCACTGAGCCACACCAGCCAGGGCTGATTTTTGAAAAAGACGGTATTTATTTACTTTTAGAAAGAGGAGAAGGGAAGGAGAAAGAGAGGGAGAAAAACGTCAATGTACAGGAGATACATCAATTGGTTGCCTCTCACACACCCCCAACTGGGGACCTGGCCCACAACCCAGGCATGTGCCCTGACTGGGAATCAAACCAGTGACCCTATAGTTTGCAGGCTGGCACTCAATCCAACCGAGCCACACCAGCCAGGGCTAGACAGACTCTTAGTTGTAATTTGTGCTGTGCCCTCAGACTAGAATGCCTTTTCTTACCTGACAAATTCTTTTTTCTCCAAGGTCTAGTCCCAGAGATCCCACCTTCAGGCAGCCCTCATGGATGCCCCAAGTGTAGCCCTGACTGTCCTGGGGTCTCCCCAGCCCCATCCCTCCATCCCTCACTCTTTCTGGTCCTGATCCTATAGCTCTGATTCACCCAGGCCTGGTGGCTTTCCAGGGAGAGGGCAGGGACTGAGTACCAGTTAGGAGCAATTGGCAGATCCCCTCTGTGACCCTGTGGTCCAGCTGCCGGGTGACGTTCTGACTCTTTGGGGATTTCCTGTGACCTCTATAAATAACCCCCATGGCTGCTTCCCACAAATCGCCTCATCCTTCTTGGAAAAAAGGGACTGTAGCCAAGGATCTCAGTCCAGCTATGTGCCAGCGCCTAGGGGAAGGCAGGCGGGGGGCCCCCGGCATCCTGTCCCACGAGCATCTCCTTCCCCACCTGGACGCTGCTCACCCTTCCCAGAAGCCCTCCAGAAGCCCCATTCCATGATACATGGACACCCACCCCCACTATTATTGCTTTTCTCCTCTGGGCATCAATTCTCTTCTGCAGAATGCACCAGCTACCTGAGTAACCCTTTCCGTCCAGGAGCCCTCCTTTCGGGGGCAATCCCAGCTGCCGAATAAGCAAAGAAATCAACAGATAGTGACACATTGCAATGAAGTCTATGGAGACACGGGGTCAGGGTGTTCCCTTTAGCTGGATGGCTGGAGCCTCCTGAAGACCCTCTTATACCCTTTGTGGGCCCTGGACACCTCCCAGCCTCTGCTCACATGTCCCCTGGAATCTAAGAGCTTGTATCTTCAACCACTGGAGGCTGATCCTGACTCTATTTGAGACTCAGTTTCCGCCTCTGGAAAGGGGAGTTGACTACTCTTAAGCCATCAGGCGGGTATGGCAGCCAGCATTCTTACAACCTTAAGGGGCTGCAGCTCTGCACCTGCTTTGTTAGAGCAAGGCGCCCTCTGCTGGTTCGTCATCACCATAGCAGTCCCCCATCTCAGATTCAAAGGCCTCACTGGAATCACCTCTCCCCTCTTCCCCCGCTCACTCACTCTGCTCCAGCCACACCTGCCACCTCGCTGTTCCTTGAACACATGGTGATGTTCCACCTCAGGACCTTTGCATGTGCTGTGCCCTTTGCCTGGGACACTCTCACAAGCTTCCTCCCTCTGGCTTACTTTTCACCATTCAGATGTCCATGCCTAGGCCACCTCTGCTCTGCAGGGCACCCGGTCCACATGTCCCTAACCAGGTCAGGTCCCCTCATGGTAAGTTCACATAACAGCCATAAGACCTCACTGGAGGAGCTACGTCTCTAACAAGGGGAGAGGTGATGCCTGCATGTTTCCGCCCATGTTCCCAGCACCCTGTACTCGGTCTGCTGCACAGAAGACCCACAGCAGACTCATGTCAGAGGTCAAAGACCCATGTGCAAGGATGAAAGCTGGGGACCTCCGGCGACTAGCTACTACTACTCTGAGAGTGTTCCCTCACCTTTAGAACTGCCCGCCACGTTGTGCTGGTATGAAGATCCAGTGAACTGGTGTGTACCATTCTAGACGGTGGCAGGTGCTCGATAAATATGCACTAAGTTAGTAAACAAATGAATGAGTGCATCAGTGAAGACTCAGCTCGGAAAGGGAGTAGGGCCCCCAGGATTTTGTCAGTCACTTTTAAGATACAAAAGACAAAGTTTCAAGGCTGACACTACAAAAGGAATGACAAGCTGCAGAGCAATAAATAACTCAACATATGTAAGAAATATAAGACAAAACAGGTGCATCCACAAGTATGCAAACAGAGAAAGTTCTAGAAGGACACAAGTTACGCTGTGACACCAGTGGCAGTGAGGGACAGGAGGAGGAGGATTTCCATATTTAAACATTTCTGGACCACCTGAAATTTTTTCCTTTTGTATTTAAAAAATAAATTAAAAACTATAAAACAAAGACCCCTGAGACCCTGATACCCACTCCCTCAACCTTCCATGGCTACTCCTCCAGCATCAGGTGCCCAAAGAGACTTTTGTTCAGCCCCACTCCAGGGCCTGAACCCCCAGCAAGTCCCTGTGAGGGAACATGGCCAGCTAGAGCTTGGTCACCACCAGCAACGGGGAGTTCACTCACTATTTTACAGTCAAGTTCTTCCCTAGGAAATGAGAATCTCACTTAGCCTAAGCTATTCCCAGATGTCTCAAGACTTCTGGGCATCCGTCCAGACTGGTCCCCTCACTTGCCCACACAGAAGTCCCGGAAGATGATGTCTAGGATCTCTTCAGTGCCCCCTCCACTGGTGAGGCAGGCCAGGTGCCCCCGGGCGATCCGCAGTGCCTCAGCCGCCAGGGCGACATCTTTAGCTTGCTTATAGTGGCCGAGGGCTTCCAGGCAGCCTTGGAGGTGATGCTGGTGCCTTGCCCTTGTCAGAAGTGGTGGACCTGCAGACGGGTCCCCACACCTGCAAGAGACAGAGAACATGGTCTCTCTTAACTTTGCAACCACCACTCAAAGGGGGGGATGGTCAAACCCATTCTGCAGATATAGAAACTGAGCCTGCAGGCAGGTATGTGCCCAGAGCTGTTGCTAACCCCCCACTTGAACTTGGGTGGAAGCTGTGGAGTGGTGCAGGGCAAGAAGGTGGGGCTCACACCGCAGTCAGCTCTTTCCTCAGTGCCTCCAGGAGGCCGTCCAGTCCCTCCCCAGTCAGGCAGGACAGCAGCAGGTGGGGGGGCAGTTCAGGACTGAGGTCTAGGTCTCCAGCGAGTAGCAGGTCCGACTTATTCAGCACCAGCAAGAGGCGCTGGCTGTTCCCATTATGGCTCTGAGCTATCGCGGAGGTGACAACCGTGTCCAGGAAGTTGCAGCTAGACGGAGAGGCCAGGTCAGAGGCATCCAGCACAGCCAAAATGAGGTCAGCCTGCTCCAACCTGGGGGAGCAGGGAGAACCAACAGAAGAGTGACCCCAGAGCAGAGCAATCACGGGCATTGGGTGGGGTGGAAAGGCGTAGAGCACTAGGTGGGGAGCAGAGCATGCGGGGCAAGGCAGAACATGTGGGCAGAGGCCAAACTCTAAGGGCTGCCCTCCCCAAATCACAGTCCTCAGTTAATTTTCTGATTCAGGAAGAAAGAAAAATAAATAGAACAGGAGGAGGAAGGGCCCCATTTCCCTCTCCCACCACTCTGCCTGCCCACCTCTCACGGGCACGCCGCACACCCTCCTGCTCCACGGGCCCCTCGCCCTCCCGCAATCCTGCCGTGTCGCTCAGGAGCACTGGGAACCCAGCCAGGTCCACAGGGGTCTCTAGCACATCACGGGTGGTCCCTGGTTCTGGGGACACGATGGACACAGGCTTCCGGCCTGGGAAGGGGAAGAGGGTCAGAGAATGGGGGGGAGGTCAGTAAAGGAGTGATCCCCTCTCCCAAGCTCCAGCCCCTGACTGGACAGAGCTCTTTCATCCTCCTTGCCCTCTTCCCCACAACTGAACAGCTCAGGCCCACACCCTGCCCCCTCTCCCACGCACTGAGCAAGTTCACTAAGCTGCTCTTGCCCGCGTTGGGGGGTCCTGTGACCACCACATGAGCCCCTGAGCGGAGCCTCTGCCCTCGCCTGGCATCTCGAAGATGTGCGTTCAGTGCCATTTCCAGCTCCTGCACTTGGCTGTCAGCTGTGGATGGAGAAAAGCAGAAAGGAGGGAGTGAGGGGGCTTCTGAGGGCTGACACTCCAGGTATCCCACACCTGACCCCCAGGCGGCCACACCTCGCTCCAAGACATCCTCTTCCAGGTTGTCATCCTCTCCGAAGTCGATATAGGCCTCCACATGGGCCAGAGCCTGGGGGAGAGGAGGTATGTGGTATGGTCACCCAGGAACCCATCCCCAAGCACCCCAATTTGCCCAGGTCCAGCCCAACCTGAGGGACCAGATTGGAAGTTTGTAGACCAGAAGCTCTCACACAGAGGATGGAGGTGGGGTCTCTGAGGCAGAAAATGGCAATTGGTGGAAATGGGGACTTGCCTTAGTGAGGGTCTCTGCCCAGCCACGGCAGAGGTGACCTAGCTCTCCATCCAGCTGCCGCAGGGCCTGCCTTCGCTGCGCCTCGGTTTCCGCATGGATCAGATCTGCCAGCCCCTCCACCTCAGTCAGGCTCAGCTTCCCGTGGGCAAAGGCCCGCCTGGTGAACTCACCCGCCTCCGCAGGCCGCAGCCCTGGCACACTGCCTGTGGGATGATCCTGAGTACTGAGACCCTGGCCCCCACCCAGGCCCACTGACAGACCTCGAACCCAAGGTTGCACTCACCCAGGGCCTGCAGGACGCCACTCACCACTGCCGGACCTCCATGCACGTGGAACTCCGCACAGTCCTCACCCGTGAAACTTTGGGGTCCTAATGTGGCAAGGCGGAAGCAGGGCACAACTTGGGCAACCGCCTGAAGGGAGTCAACTGGGTCAAGAGACCTACAGGAGGAGGTTTGGGATCTGGAGACCCTCACCTGGAAACCAGAGCACTAAGGCGCGGTCCAGGGGCTCCTCAGAGCGGGGGTCGGTGAGCAAGCGCAGGCAGGCCCTGCGCGCAGGAGGTAAGTCCCGGGGCGCCGTTAAACTCCGGAGGGCGTGCCCGCTGGCGGGGCCACTGGTCCGGATCACAGCGATGCCACAGCGGCCTTGGCCAGAGCTCAGAGCAAAAATGGTGGCCCCGGATCCGGGAGCCGGGGCACCGCTGCCCTGACGTGTACACGGTCTGGGAAAGAAGAGGAGAGAGTGCTTCTTGGAGGCTCTGCTTCAGAGTAGGTGGGCGGATCCAGGGTTGGAAGGTCGAGAAATGCCCCAAGTGGAGCCAGTCTCTGCGGTTAGGGGATGGAGACTGGAAGGCCTGAGGTCAGAGAATGACCTAATTAAAGACTTCAAGGCCAAGTGACCTAGATGTGGGCTCTGCGGCAGGGGGATGAATAGATCGGGGCTTGGGAGGACTCGAAAGGTGGCTCTGCTGCCGACAACCGAGCCCCCAGGCCCCAGATAAAGCATTTGGGCCAAAGCAGCCCCCCACACTGTTACACCCCTTATTCTGGTCATCCCACCTGCAAGGCCCACGTGCCGCCCGGGCTACCAGGATCCAGAGCCCCCGCCACATGGATTCTCAGCCAGCAAACCGCCTGTCAGCCCAACCTGAAGGATTCGAGTTCGGACGGGCCCCGCCCACTCCACGTCTAGTGTAAAGCACTTAAGGGTTCTCGACTACCATTGGGCGCCTTCAAAGTCGTACTATCCACCCACTGAAGATCCTCGTTCTTATTGGCTGCTGCCAGGAAAAGAGGCAGGGGTAGCACGCAGAGGTGCAGCGAAATGGCCTTCCCCATGGCAACACTAGACCACATTTTTAGGATCCTAGATACCGGAAATGAGGTGGGAGGAATGCAGGCACAAGGGGGTAGAAATTACAGAGAGGCGAGAGTTAAGAGTCCCATATTTCCTATTAGTACACTGCGTCGCCTTAGGTTAGGCAAATGGCCGGGGAGATGAGTTCCGGGGAACCGACACACTGGCTCTGGGCAATCTTGTCCAAACTTCTGGGAAGGTGCCTACTTGTTTTCCCGAAACTCGCCAAGTTTTCACTCCTCCCCAGCTTTCCCTCCCGCTGTTCCCTTGCCCCGAATACCCAGCCTCATTTGACAAATTCATTCTCGGAGCCTAATTCCAAGGTGGACTCCTGAAACCCCCAGCACAGCCCTCTCTCTCCCCTGGCCCAGGCATGCTCCTACAGAGCTGTATGTTGTCTGTCTCTGGATCCCCAAAAGCCAGAAACGGGAGTCTCGCAATTACTTTCAGGTTAATCCAGGACAGTGCTGGAGCGTGGATGAATAGAGTTTATGGTGGAATTCCTGGCACTGGATGGGCGGGGTCTCGGGGATCTCCCGAATGGCCAATTCTCTGTTTCTTGGACGGAGCGGGCGGGCAGCGCACCTGCATTTCAGGAAGAGTCAATCGGACACGCTAGAGTTCTCGTTATTCCCACGTCCAGCCCTACTCGATTTTTAAAATTGTAAAGGAGTGACGAACAATGATATTCGCTGTCTCCGAGTTGCTCCATCTGTCACAAGTATATATCAAGCGTCCACTATGTGCATTCTGAGAATCAGATCGGGCGCCTGCCCTCCTTGGACTCGAAGGGAGGGGGCAATTTAGGATGGGGAGTATGGGTGCCAAACAAAATACAGAACCCAGCTAAATGTGAATTTCAGATAAACAATAAATAACATTGTGTCCCATGTAATATTTGGGATACACGAAAAACTTATTCGTTTATCTGAAATTCACATTTGTAGAAAGTAATATAAACTGAGTCACATTAAAATAGAGTGGAAAACAGAAAGAAAAACAAACAAAACAAAAATAAATAAAAATTAAAGCTAAAACCAACAAACAACAACAGAAAAAAATAAAATAAAATGGATTAGAAACTGTCACCCCAGAGACTGCCTGGCGTGTCTAATGTCTCAAACCTTTGGAATGTTAAAACAGGGCAAAACAACCTTTGGACAGCGTCTAAGCAGACTCGTTTCCAAAGAACTGTTTGCAAAGACAACAAGAAGGATATTATGAATAATAGTCTGAAATTTTAAAACCTGGTTTAGAGTTAGCATCACTATGTTATGTCGTCTGCGCCAACAGAAATGTCTTCCTGCCGTCGATGTCACTGTTCCCCTTTCTCAAATCCCCATTGCCTTTGTCTCCTCATCAGAACACGATCTGGGCTTCTGCTCTAATCACTCCAGCCCAAATAGCTGTTCTCATTGATCTCAAATAAATGCTCAGTTTCCGACTTTGAAAGGCCTTATGTTTTAGGTTAACATATCTAATACAGGGAGGACTGTATTTCTGTATGCTAAACGGGCAACTCTATCCGGTCCTCTCTGAGGTTGTATCCTGATGGATGTAGGACGCAGGGAGAGTGTGAAGGGTGTTTTGGGCAGGGTCCTAGGGCATGGGCTAAGGCTCTGAGACAGGGCCTGCTGTAATTACTCACATTCCTGCTGTGGTAGTTGAAGTTATTGTTACCCGGAATCTCCCCAGACCAGGCCTCCCTCGCTCAACGTCTTGTTGCAGTCAAATCACGCCCATCTCAGATTCCAAAGGAGCCTTTTCAGATGGGGAAACTCAGGCGGAGAATCCGGAGCAGGCGGAGACGAGACCCAGAATCTGGCGTGGGCGGGGACAAGGAAGGCCGTACACCTTCAGTGCGGGCGGAGTCGAGCACCACAGAGTGAAGTGGGAGGGCGAGAAAGAAACCCAAAAAACAACTAGGGCGGAGTCGAGAACCCGAGAGCGACGTGCGCTGGGCCGAAGCCGGAGACTCAAGGTTCGGCGCGGGCGGGGACGAGAAGCAACGCTTGGGCACAAGGGGACAGCGGCCGGCGCGGGCGGGCGCGGCCTTTGTCTCCTCCTCTGGCGCGCTCCGCGGCTGCACCGGCCCCATGCGCCCGCGGCCCCTCGGCGCCCCAGCCGCTCGAAGCCCCTAATTTGCCCTACCCTGACCTCGTCATGGCCGAAGCTACCTCCGGCTCTGGGGGCACGTCCCTAGAGGGCGAGCGCGGCAAGAGGCCCCCACCAGAGGGCGAGCCTGCAGCCCCGGCGTCCGGAGTTCTGGGTAGGTGTGCGGCGGCTGAATCAGTCAGGGTTGCAGGTGACTGGGGTGCGCGCGGCGGCTGCACAGGGAGGGGAATTGGGGTCATCTGCCTCCGACCTGGAGTCCAGTCGAAGAGCCTGTCTCCTCCTGGCACTGCGGCTGCGGCCAGGCGGGCGCGGCCAGGACGTTGTAGCGGGAGGGGGTCCTAGTGATGAGATACGGACACGCCCCTCCAGACTCGAGGCTGAGCCCCGTTATGCCTTGAACTACCGGATCGCTGCTGGGCAGGGATGCGCTTGAGAGTTCCTCTCCCCAAAGGGTGTAGAATCATACAGTTCTGGGTTCGAATCCCAGCTCTGCTGCGTGACCTTGGCCGCGTGACTTAAATACTTTGGACCTCAGTTTCCCCACCTGTGAAATGGGGGTAAGAACCGCACCCAGCTGTGAAAACTCGCTGACATAACATGGTGAAGCGCACAGGGCTGCGAGTGAGCGCCCTATCGATTGTGGTTTTGGAGGCGGAGCTGGGCCTCAAGAATGAGTAAGATTTGTAAGGCAGGGTCTGGGGGAATGGCATTCCTGGAGGAGGGCCCGCTAGTGCAAGGACTTGAAGGCAAGGAAATGAGCCAAGGCCAGAGCTCCAAGGGCCTTGAAAGCCAGGCTGAGTGCCCAGGAGCCCTGGCGAGTGTGTGAGCCGGGGCAAGGGCTGGAAGCCAGGCTCCTGGTCCTGTAGTGGCCTGATGGCCGGCCTGCCCCCAGATAAGCTTTTTGGGAAGCGGCTCCTGCAAGCAGGTCGATACCTGGTGTCCCACAAGGCGTGGATGAAGACTGTGCCCACGGAGAACTGCGACGTGCTGATGACCTTCCCAGGTACCTGTGCCCACCTGCCCAGTGCCCAGATGGGGATCCCCTGAGTGGGAGTCTGTAAGGGGACTCGGACCCTTCCTGGCGAGAGCCATCAGTCCCTGCACCCCTTGGCAGATACGACGGATGACCACACACTGCTGTGGCTGCTGAACCACATCCGTGTGGGGATCCCCGAACTCATAGTGCAAGTCCGCCACCATCGCCACACGCGTGCCTACGCCTTCTTTGTCACCGCCACGTATGAGAGGCGAGTCCCTGTCCCTGGCCTCTCGCTGACCCTGCCACCCAGCTCCCTGCCCTTCCAAGCACCAGCTACAAGGTCCAGCCACTCTGTGTTTGACTCAGGTGACCAGCAGGTGCACCATCCCTAGCTCTAGGATGGAGAGCCAGGGCCTTCCCATAATCCACCTCCCCTCCCCTCCCACAGCCTACTCCGAGGGGCTGACGAGCTGGGTCTGCGTAAAGCGGTGAAGGCCGAGTTTGGTGGGGGTACCCGCAGCTTCTCCTGCGAGGAGGACTTTATCTACGAGAATGTGGAGAGTGAGCTACACTTCTTCACCTCCCAGGTGCTCAGTCTCTGCCCCCAGCGCACATCCCGCGCATACCTAGCCCTTCCCTAGTCTGCAGGCATTACTCGCTGTGCTCACGCCCTGTCTCCTGCAGGAGCGCCAGAGCATCATCCGCTTCTGGCTTCAGAACCTGCGTGCCAAGCAGGGTGAGGCGCTGCATAATGTGCGTTTCTTGGAGGATCAGCCAATCAGTGAGTGAGGCGGGGCCAGCCCTGCACGTGTGGGGAGTTGGGTGGGTTTCTTAGAGGAAAGCCTATCAGGGCAGGAGGGTGGGACCTAGATACAACAATTGAGCTAATGAAGAATTGGGTAGAGCCTGGAGCTAGATTAAAACAATGAGCTGGAGGGGAGGGGCGTTGGCCTTAGCAAAGGGTGCCCTTATACCCCAGGAGGCAGGTCTACAAGAACTTTTTCTGAGTCTCAGATAAAGAGAGGGCAGGACCATGGACAGCATTCTTGTATATTGTGCAGTGCGCCTCAGTTTCCCCTCCTGGAAACCAGCTGCTGCAAGTTCACTTTCTGATGCCAACTTTGCACCATTCCTCAGATATTCAGAGCAGTGAACCGAGCCCAGTGGCTTTATTTAAGAACGTGGGACCCCACCCTTCTAGGTTTCCTGCACCCTTTCCCACCTGTGCCTGTGCCTGCACCTCCCAAATTCTGAAAGAGAACCAGATATTCCACCCACCCAGAACTCCTCTCCTGGGAAGAGCCTCTGCAGGTTTAAAAGCAGGCAAAAAGTTGTGGCTTGGGTTTCAGCCAAGGAGGTGTGGTCAGGCCAGGAAGAGGCAGAGGGGCCAGGGTCACCCATTCTTGTCCCCCAACAGTCCCTGAGCTGGCAGCCCGTGGGATCATCCAGCAAGTGTTTCCAATCCACGAGCAGCGCATCCTGAACCGCCTCATGAAGTCATGGGTACAGGCCGTGTGTGAAAACCAGCCTCTAGGTGTGGCCTGGGCCAGGGGCTGTGCAGGGGTCCCAGGAGGAGGGCAGGGCTGACCAGGAACCCCTTCCCACCACCCACCCCTGCAGACGAGATCTGCGATTATTTTGGTGTGAAGATTGCCATGTACTTTGCCTGGTTGGGCTTCTACACGTCAGCGATGGTGTACCCGGCTGTCTTTGGCTCTGTCCTG